CCACAGGAAAGCCTCCAATATAATTTGTCATATATTCAATAAACATCTATTGTTCTGGCATTTCCCAGTGTTTCAGCTTCTGACAAGTCTACACAGAAAACTTGCCCAGCGAGTTCTGAATCATACATGTATATGCGATGACGCACCCACAGTTGTTCCAAGTCCCGTATTGGAAATTTCCTGATTGTCTGGAGAATCAGTCGGACTGTGACATGGCTTACCATAGTTTGATCATCACATTTTTACGGCCTATACCTAAAGGCTACCAGTCAGAAACTCTTAGCCACTTAATAAATTCATGATGTGTAGATGTAGTGAACGGCCCTCCCAGCATCATACACAAATTGATTTCTCTCCTCAGTCAACAGACATTTTATCACTGAAAAGCTGCATGGCTCCAGAAGTAAGTGATTTCATTCTGCTTTCATGATCAAGAGAATGAGTTCAATATTTGAATACACTGGCAATATTGTAGATCATAACAATTAATTTCTCCTTTAAAGCAAATTTTTTTTTTAAATAATTAATGAGAGAGTAATTAACGTTCTATACCTGTTCAAATTATGTTTCTTACCGATAAATATTTGACATATATGCCACCTAGATTGTAAAGTATACTACAGATTCACTTGTTTCTCTCCTAAATATGCCAATTAGTATAAAATGGTTCTCTATGGCACCTAGCTATAGGTGTTAAGTTATGTACATACTCAGGGGTCGACACTAACACGTGTCCGTTAATCCTGGAGGCTGGACTATAGATCTAGATTTCAGCAAGGACTAGTGAATCACCTAACCTAACTGCAGGGCCTTTGGACTTGTGAAAAATATTATTATAAAATAAGAATATTCCTTTTTAAAATTTAGAAAACTGCTTAAAAATAAGATAAATTGCATGATTATTAATTGTCAACATTTTCCCAAAAACCTTTACCATATTTTTATGGCAGTTGTTATTTTAAGTCCCTTACAGTGATGTTTCGTACTGTAGATCGTGTTGTTTCCTTAACTCATTCACCCATGAAATTTCATAATGAACTATTCCAACCTTTGAATAGGAAGAGTTCAAATGTGTCTTCAGGGGTGAATGATTTAAGGAAATCTTGGACTAGTTACATTGATGAAAGACTAGTAAAATATCTATTCAACTAGTTTTATATATATAGTGTCTAACCTAGTGTCTGACCCTGCATACAACTGATACAAAGTGTATCGTATACCACTACCAGGGAGATTTGGAGGTTATTATGAAATTAAAGCCACCAATAGATCTTAAAATTGTGTCATCAAAATGTTGAGGCATTGAAATATCAATTTAAATGCTTAAAGTTTACGTTATCTTGTAATGATAACTCTCGCTCTTAACAATTTTATCAATACCCATCATCTGTCCATTTCAAATTAATATGAATTATTTACATCAATGTTTATTGGGAAGTTTAGTATAATAGGCTTTGTCTTTTATTTAACATTTTTGTTTTGAAATAATTAAATAAAATATCTTGAATTAAATTAATTTGGAGGTACATACAGGGTGACCTAGATTTTGAAGTATGCAGACACATGCATCTGCAAAAGTTAGATTCTTTTGCATTCTTCATACCAGCTACATTTTATGTGCTTAATGAAGGGTAGTCACCTTGACAATCATTGTGTTCATTGATGTTACTATATACCTCCCTGTTAGGTGATTGCCTAGGGCTTTCTTATAAGCACAGGACTATGTGTGCAAGCTGAACTTGACACTTCTTAACCACACCTAAACATACTGATGTACAAAGTACAAGTGATTTACATGTACACTATACAGTACATGTTGATATGTATATACATCATGATACAACAACACTTAATTGGTATAATGACAGATGAATAAATATGACATGTTTTAGGTTTGGTTTGGATTGTTTGGGTTTTACATCCTGTTAACAACTATGGTCATTTATATTAAGGCATGCCAGGTTTTGGTGGTGGAGGAAAGCTAAAGTTGCCGGAGAAAAAACACTGACCTACAGCCAGTACCTGGCGACTGCTCCACGTAAGTCACAAACCCTACCCAGTGGTGGAGGGCTTGTTGTAGCAGATTGTCAGACGCCTTAACCCCTTAGCCACCGCGGCTCTACATGTTTTGATTTTGTTCACAAAAAATATTATCTTAAGTATATCATAAGGCATTGGTAATGCTTGACCAGCTACTATAGGTCTGTTTCATAATTGGTGTATAATGAATATGTACATACCCAAATTATTTTTAGATATAGGAAATATTACCCTAGATATATCTAAATTAGCTTTCATCTATTTTCCACATCTGGACTGGTACTTTGGGGATGACCTCATATTTTTATTTATTTGGATCCAGACTTTTTACTGAAGATAGAATTTGGACATGACGAAATGTATTAAAGGAATGTATTCTTCTTATTGGCAAAACTTTTGACTAGAAAATTTTGAACTATCAATTCCCAATCTTAATTATTATTATTATCTAATATGATTTATAAATGACATAAGACCAACTTGCATACTTCAGTTTGGTAAATGTTTGTGTTTTATGTCCTATTTAACAGCTATGGTCATTTATTGATGTGCCAGGGTTTTGTAGTGGATCAAAACTGTAATACCAGGAGAAAAACCACAGTACCAATATATAACTTCAAAAGGGTGACAACAATTACCTACAGGTGATCATGAACCATTGACCTGTTTAAATAATTCCCTGGTTCATCAACTGATTCACCCCTAAAATTCATTATGAACTATTCTAACCTTTGAAATTGGAAGAGTTCAAATGTGTCTTCAGGGGTGAATGAGTTAAATAGTAGCGAAAATTACCAACAATGAGTATGTGAAGCATAAATCTATAATTTCTTGGTTTTTATGTATAAATCTATAATTGCTTGTTTTTATGTATGTAGCTATTTCTGGGTTTTCCCTAGCTACCTATATTGGGATATTTGAAAAAGAAAAATTTCCAAATTCCACGAAAAAATTCAAATATCCATTACTGATAAATTTGAGATTAACACTAGAACAAACAGTGTTTGCCTGTTCATCTACTGATACTTGGGGTTTGACGAGATACAGGTTATAGATCTAGAGCAAACAAAACAAAATCCTGAACGTAATTAAGTAAAGAGCCTTTCCATTTTGCTTACTACTCATAACACTCATAAAAGACTTCGCTACATTTATAAAATCTGCAGTCCATTGGGAAGAAAACATTAAAAATTATTTTTTAATTTTTAAAATATTCCTCTACTGGAAACTATAATAAAACCCACAGATACTATTATAAGCCAATTGCAACTGATATATATAACTCAAATTAAAGGGATGGGCTTATTATAGGATATTTGAATTTACAATGGACATTAATGATTATGGGTCTCATTACCAGGCAACGGCTTATTACAGGATAACTACGGTAATATAGAGATTATACTAATTTTACTATGCATGGAAAAAGGGATTTCAACAAATATGGTTGCTATAAGAATTTTTTTCAGGGTCAACTTGATCAGTGAGTTACTTATAAAGTTAAACTTTGAACAGGTAAAATCAATATTCCTACTAGCACAATAATTAAATGTATGATCTGAACAACTACAATGTGACCTACATCGATATCCACAGGCTTATATTTAAATATGATACATGATTTCTAAAACTGGTCAGAAATATTAAATTCATGGTCCAAAATCGGGAGGGTTAACGTTAGCAAGTATGCATTTTGAAATGGTCTTATTCAGTTAAATCAGGAGATTTGAAAAATACCTCTATGTTTATGACAACATCTTAAGCATTTATCTCAAAGTGCTGCTAATAATGTGGTTTTCTCAACTTGTATTTATAATACTTGGGTTATGTCCCCTTAACATATATTCATTATGCCGAGTTTTCCCCAGTCTCTATACTGTATTTAAGACCAAATCGCAGATACAAATCCATATAATACTTGGGTTAATTATGTCCCCTTAACATATATTCATTATGCAGAGTTTTCCAAAGTCTCTATACTGTATTTAAGACCTAAATCGCAGATACAAATCCACAAAAGATGAGGATATTTATAATGCACAGTATTTGATAAAATCTAGGATCTAAAATATATACGTTTTTTCAGGGACGTCTGAAGTTGACTTAATTAGTCTGAAGCTCTACGTATATATATACTGAATGAGCTATTGCCCTAGCTCATACTGAATGTCTCATTAAATGAGACATTCGATATGATGGAAACTTTCTTGCGATAAACAGTCTTACCAAATATGTGCTTTGATCTTGTTAAGCATTTATTTTAACTGTACTAGCCACTTGTATAGGGTCTTTAATACTCTGACATTTATTCAAATAATTTATTCTACGCTATCAACGCTGATGTAAATTAAGTTGGGAATCAAATTATTTGTATCATATTTTGCTACAGAATGCCCAGAGTATGAGACAATTAACGTAATTCTACAATGATTTATAACAAAAATGTCAATTACTTCCACCGAGTTGTCATTTAGCCCACAACTGGGTGACGTCACACACTTTATGGAATTAATTAGGAAGTGTCTCAGTGATATTATCATCGTACAAAAATAGCAGTATGTGTAAGCTTGCTGTTCCGTTTTTGTATTGTTACCGGTACATTATAACTTAAGACAGACAACAGATGACACCCTATTCAAGTGGGGTTCTCTACATAATTAACCCTTTAAATCAATGAATATAGGTCACACAGTGTAGACCTTCGTTCACGGATGACGGGACAAATCATTTCGACTGAAATTAATTATTCGCAGTACACTATTAAATAGTGAAATTTCTTTAAAATCGTACCATACTGATGAAAAACGCATAGATTTATCAAAATGACAAAAAGCGCCTACACTAACACCCCCGTCGCCGTGGAGAAATGTGAAATCACACATCGTCCCATACAAATGACAGACATGCACACACCACATTACAGAACGTGAAAAACAAAAGAAAATAAAAAAACTGTTTACCTCTATGTACCCAAAACTGACCTTCAGTGTAGCTAACACAACTATAAGCACCAATGGGCCGTTATTAGGTCCCATTTTGAAGAATCTTAGCAATCCAAGTTAGATGATTCCTCTTCGACTAATGTCGGGCACTGCTTCTGAATACACACTGACAGTGACGTCACTATATCATTATGCGGTATACGGACAGATGATTTGATTGGTTCTTTCAGTTTCATCCCAGGAGATATATCATTAATATTTTATGATAAAATAAGAATTTGGTGAAGTTATAAAATACAGTTTTAATTTCTGTAGGACACGTTTAATATATTAAGCTTATGTATTTGTTTAAAAACCCTATCAAATTCAACCAAAAAGAAGAAAACCACATTATTTCAGCTATCAGCCGAAAATCCGCTGACCAATCAGCGTTGACTTAACAAAACCTGATGGTATATTGCTGATTGTAAATAAACAGATGATGGCGGCTATCATACATTTGTGTTCGTCTACCATATGCCGGTGTTTCTGAAGGAAAGTGTCATAAATCGGCTGCTGATGCATCGTGAACACTCGTTGACATTACTGTGAAGCTGGGATTGCATTTAAATCAAGGTTGATTTTCGTTTGTTCAATTATACCAATGAAAATGTTATTCTTGGCCTTTTTGTCATAGCCGAAACAGTGCAGACGCTAACCCCCGAGGCTATCGCAATATTGGCCTCGGGTCTAATCGGATCTAGTTAGCTTATCATCAGGTATTTATGTCAAAGTTACATCGTGTAGGTATAATCCCAGCCCTGCAGCGACAAACCATACCTAAGTATCAGACAGCAAACTGTAATATTCCGTTCTTATCAACAACACCTGGATTTTTTTTAGGCACTCTGTCGTTGGTTGTGAACAATCTCAATCCGTGAATTATTCACGGGGATTCCTTGGGCACAGAATTGAAACCAATAATTTAAATGTGTAGGATTGAAAGCATAAATGATTTAAATGTGTACGGAAATTATAATTGTTAGCATGCATAGATGTTATCTGTTAGCGTCAAGCTGTGTTATCGTAATAAAACAATATAGTATCGTCTACTGTAGGTCATAAGTTTCCGCGCGTTATGTATTTCAGCGCAGCCATTTTATCAAGCTATATCCCGTAACTACGTGACCTGTTGGACACAACACAAGGATGTTTTAGACGTTTGGCCATCGTCTGTAAACTGACACAAAAATTACCAGAACTTCGTCCGGAAAACAAGAAATAATCACTGATTAAAAAAAACATGCATAAATATGCAGTTTTGCTTAAAGTAATAGGATTGTGTCGCCATTTCTCAGTAGAATTTCTTCTAATTTTGTTGTTATATTGCTTTGAAGTAAAAAAAAAATTCTGCCACAAAAAAAAAAAAAGGTTGTCAGAATTTTAAGGATTTTAAATGGAAATCTATGTAAAAGGAGTGAATTTTGTAAAATAAAAAATGAAACACAATCTTTTTGCAATATAATGTCAATAAACATGATACTAACATAGATTAGTATTGCATTAATATATATCAATTTCATAAATACTGAAATTGTGTAAAATGAATTATCTATAAACGATTAAAAAAATTGACATTTTATAATAAAACAATATACACATAGTAATTGCATGAAAGAGTTATGGTTCTTGCAAAACTTCACAGTAGTGAAATAGGTAGCCGGTTTCCTGAAGTACAGAAAAATGGACACATGTGACTCATTGATTAAAAAACAACTGAATTAATGCCTAGATTGCTTTGAAATACTTTATATGAAAAGAACATACTGTTCTGTCAATAATAAACATACAATATTCATCAGTTTAATATTAAACATTAGAATATGCAGAGATTGTGATACTGTCTCCCTAGATTGGGTTTTCAACTAGGCATGTACTTCCTATTTCCGTTTAGCAATACACTCCTATGACCTTAATGCACTTTTTATCTTGCTCAAAATGAGCCCATACCTGAAAAAACGGTGATATATTTCATTCATGAACCGGTCTTTTTTGTAGTCTGACAAACGTACGAAAATGTTGTATGCAAATGAGGCCACATTTCCTCGCCGATTTTTTTCCACTTCCGAAGAGCCAATGCAAGGAGACATTCTTATATCGATAAACATGCAGTGTTTTCAATGAAATGTAAACCTTGTAATGCAATGAACTTCCAATTTTCACCATAAACAGAACAAAATGAGAAATAACTTGCCATCAACCAAAACCGATATAAGACTGCAGAACAAAAAAATAACCGATTCCAAATTATAACTAACTAAATATAACAAATAAATTTATAAAATTACATGAATTCATTCAATTTGACATCTTGAAAAATCAATAAAAAATTGAAAATTAAAAAAAAATGTTTTGATAATTAATTTGACGATCAAAGATAAAAAAAAATATTCCAAACGAAGCTTTTGTTCTTGCAGGTCACTGTAGAGAATTTCTTTTTAGTGTATTCAAGTTATCTTTCTTTGAAAATTAAATCAAAATAGACACACGGAAACATATGACGGCTTCTTCCGATGGGAGAAATTTGTTAAAAATTGTTTGTTCTGATTTTTTTTAAATACAGTTTTATGTTGCTAGTTTTTTGTTTCCTTTAGTAGATTGTATACATGTTTATGACAGTCTTCCGTAATTTCAACAGTTTTCTGCCGATATGATTACGAAATCGCGGAGGCTTCTTAAGTGCACGGAAACCTGTAACCCGAGGATAATTAACAGTGACGTGCCATATTTGACTTTCACAGATATTCTAGCTGTATTGTCATTTTCTCATTGGATCCATTTTCTCATTGATTCCATATTATAATTTGGGGGGGGGGGAAAAAATGCTGGCTTTTTTTATCCCATTTTGACGAAGAAATTGTTCGAAAAACTGCAGAACTATTTATTAGTTCATTATTGTTAAAATCCTAAGAAACAGAAAATGTTTATAGACATATATACCGACTGAATTTAATCAAAATGGTATAAACTGTTCAATGGGATAACTTTTTGCCACATATCTACAAAGTTTGGACCCATTTACTAAATTTAGTATGACTTTGTCAGGGCAAGGTCAACATGAGGTCACTGTGACCTTGGTTTAGAATGTGACACACCATCATTATATGATGTACCTAAATATATATATACCAACCTCATGCCCATTCATGAAAACAGAAGCTGAGATATGCTCTGGAAACAATTATTTGAGTACCTGAGGTCAAGTTGATGTCACAGTGACCTTGTTCTAGGATGCAGCACAACCCCTTCCAATGATGTACCTATACACAAAGTTTGATGCCCAATCATGAAACAGCTGCTGTGAAATGCTCTGGAAATCATTATTTGAGTACATGAGGTTAATTCCAAAGGTCAAATTGAGGTCACAGTGACCTTGTTTCGGATTGGACACATCGCCTTCCCATGATATATTTTATATACCTATAAACAAAGCTTTATGCCCATTCATGAAACAGCAGCAGCTCCTGAAACCACAGCACACATGCAGAGACAAAGCAGAAGCAGGGGCATAAAAAAAGTATATTCTAACGTAAATCAACACTATTTAAACCACGATATACCGTCCGCAAATTTCTCATTTGCATATGAAGCCTGAATGGCGATTATTAAGCAAATACAGGTACTATGTACACCTGACTTTGACGAAGCAGCGGCATAAAAAACTAAACCAACATACAATGTAAGTTTGGGAAATAAGTGCAACGTGAAAGACTTATGCATGTAGCACATCATTGTAGATATACAATAGGCATATCAAAGAATGAATACCGGTTAAGACTTTAAAATTGTCCGTTTGCAATGGCTTTTTATGAAATATATAGTTTTTCAAGAAATTCATATATATCCAAAAGGGCCCTGGTATTTTGGGAGGAAATTTATATATGTTGTGAATAAATTCTTACTGCAAATTGGTTTTTCAGAAAAGTAATCAACATTACTGCATTAATTACAAGATGACTGACTTAAATCGCTACACTGGATTGGATGAAGCATACAATGAAAAACAGCCAATCAAACCAGCTGATGAAAGCCATGAAGGCTGTGAAAAACTGTGGTCACTACGGAAATTTCCAAAAAGATACATTGTTGCAATTATGGCATTTTTTGGATTTTGTAAGTACATGTATTTCCTCATTGATCCAACTTTTTGTCAGTTTAATAATAGTTTCATAAACATCATATATACACCATTGTTTCCAGAAACCCTCAAATGAGTTTTTTATCCCCAAAACATGGTACAGTTAATTGTACCCCAAGATTTCAGAACTATTAAATTCACCCCCACATGTCGGATCTTCAATGAACTTTTTTTAGGTCACCTGAGACAAAGTCAGGGGCTGATGGGTGGGGCCAAAAAGGGTTGAATTGACTGAAATTTCAAAAATCTTCTTCTCAAGACCCAGATATGGTAGAATCAAATACTCTTCATAGATGGAAGGGTCTTAAGGTGCTTTACCAAAATTGTGAATTTCTTGACCCT